AACATTGATAATACATAAATTAGTATTTTAATTCATTCCTTTGCATGTTTTACTTTATTCTTTAAAGACTAACACTATATAGTAGGAAATTACTGATGTCACTTGGTAATACTACTGCTTAAAAAGAGATGGAGTGACAGCAAGTGAAGTCAAAAGATGCATGGTTCCTAATTAATCAGACTTACAAAACTTGCCAGATGCTTATATAAATACATAGAAATAATTATGAAAAGAAGTGAAATAAGATTAACTGCTATTAACAAATAGGTCATCAACTCATAGAACATATTCTAAAGTTGATAACATCATAGACAACAAAACATGTCTCAAAAAATTAAAAAAAATAGAAATCATAACATTCATCTTCTCAGAACACAGTGGAAATAAATTAGAAAACTTCAACAGAAATACTAGTTATTACACAAAGTCATGAAAACTAAACAACCTATTGATGAATGATAGTTCAGTCAAGGAGGAAATTAAGATGGAAATAAAAAGATACTCAAACTAAATGATGGAGGGGACATAATTTTAATAGCCATAAATGGCCACATCCAAAAGACAGAAAGATCACAGATAACCAATCTAATGAATTCTCTCAAGGAACAGGAAAGAGAAGAGAAAAACAATTCCAAACCCAGGAAAATAAAAGTAATAAACAAGATCAAAGCAGTACTAAATGAAATTGATAATAAAAGAACTACACCGAAGATTATATTGAAACAAAAAGTTGGTTCTTATCTTTCTTTGAAAGATACACAAAAATGGCAAGCCTCTAACTAGATTAACTGGAAGCAGAAAAGAAAGGACCCTAATAAACTCAATCAGGAATGAAAAAAGAGAAATTTCAGCTGATATCATGGAAATACAAAACATCATCTCTCAATACTACAAAAATCTCAATGCACATAAACTTGAAAAAGTGGAAGAAATGGTCAAATTTTTAGAAACACACAGGCTTCCTAGGCTTAATAAGGAAGAAATACAATTCCTAAACAGACCAATATCAATTACTGAAATTGAAGCACCAATAAAAAATTTTTCCAACCAAAAAATGTTCTGCACAAGATGGTTATACTCCTGAATTTTACCAGATCTACAAATAACTAATACATATCTTGTAGAAATTATTCCAGAACATAGAAAAGGAAGGAATCCTGCACAACACATTTTATGAAGCCAATATCACCCTGATAGCAAAGCCAGGAAAGGATTCAACAACAACAACAACAACAAAATAAAAAGAAAACTACAGACCAACATCCATTAGAAAAATATATGCAAAAATTCTCAATAAAATTCTAGCAAACCAAATTCACCTTCACATAAAAAAAAAAACAATCCATCATGACCGAGTAGGCTTCATTCCTGAGATGCAAGGATGGTTCAACACACACAAATCTATAAATGTAATTCACTACATAAATAGAAGTAAAAACAAAGACCATAGAATTCTCTCAATGTATACAAAAGAAGCATTTGACAAAATTTGGCACCCTTTATGACAAAAACTCTTAACAAAATAGGCATAGATGGGAGATACCTCAAAGTTATAAAAGCCATGCATAACAAACCCACAGCCAACATCATACTAAATGGGGAAAAAATGAAAACATTCCCACTTAGAACTTGAACCAGACAAGGTTTCCCACTATTACCAGTTCTATTCAACATAGTGCTGGAAATCCTAGCCAGAGAAATAAGAGAAGAGAAGGAAATTGATGGTATCCAATTGGGGAAGAAGTGCTGATGATACGATTTCATACTTCTATTTAGAAAACTCCTGATATTTTGCCAAGATACTCCTCAAATGAGTAAATATATTCAGAAAAGCCTCAGGTTACAAATCCAACATACACAAATCAGTAGCATTCATATACACCAACAACATTCAAACTGAGAACCAAATGAAAGACTCAACACCTTTCACAATAGCAGCAAAGAAAATAAAAAAAATCTAGGACTATAACTAAGGAAGTGTAAGACTTCTATAGGAAGAACTATGAAATATTGAGGAAGGAAATAACAGAGGACACAAACACATGGAAAAACATATCATGGTCAGGGATCATCAGAATTTTTATATTATTCAATATTGTTAAAATGTCTATACTACCCAAAGTGATCTACAGATTCAATGCAATCCTTATTGAAATACCAACATAATTTATGCAGATTTAGAAAAATTTATTTGCTTTGTATGGAACCAGAGAAGATACTGTATAGCAAAAGCAACGTAAGGCTAAAAAAGAAAAAAAAATTGGGAGGCATCAATTTATCAAACTTTAAGCTATACTACAAGGCAATAGTAACCACAAAAGCATGGTACTGGAGCAAGAACACATACCTAGACCAATGGATCAGAGCAAAGAACCTAGATATAATACCATTCTCATATAGCCATCAGATTTTTGACAAAACAGACAAAAACATACACTAGGGAAAAGAATCCCTATTCAATAAATGGTGCTGGGGAAGTTGGATAGCCACATGTAGAAGACTTAGTAAGGACCCACACTTCTCACCACTCTCAAAAATTAACTCATGATGGATAACAGACTTAAACCTAAGGCATGAAACTATAAGAATTCTAGAAGAAAATCTTGGAAAAATCTTATATGCATCAGCCTAGGCAAATAATTTATGAAGAAGACTTTAAAAGCAATCACAGCAAAAATGAAAATAAATAAATGGTACCTGATCAAATTAAAAAAGTTTCTCCACAGCCAAGGAAACAATAATTAGAGTGATTAGACAACCTACAGAATGGGAGAAAATATTTGCCTGCTATACATCTGATAAAGGGCTGATCTATAAAGAACTATAGGATCTATAAAGCACTTTAGAATCTATAAAGAACTCAAGCACATTGGCAAGAAAAAATCAAACATCCCCATTAAAAACTGGGCAAAAGGCATGAACAGAAATTTTCAAAAGAAGATAGATTAATGGCCAACAAACATATGAAAAAATGCTCAACATCTTTAATAATCAGGGAAATGCAAATCAAAACCACAATGAGATATCACTTAACTCCAGTGAAAATGGCCGTCACGAAAAAGTCTCAAAACCGCAAATGGGGGCGTGGATGTGGAGAAATAGGAACACTCATACACTGTTGATAGCACTTCAAACTAGTAACACCTCTGTGGTAAGTAGTATAGAGATACCTCAAAGAACTAAAATTAGATCTGTCATTGGATCCAGCAATCCCATTACTGGGTATTTACCAAAAGGGGGAGGGGGAGAAAAAGACATTCTATAAAAAAAAAAAAAAAAAAAAACTCTAATATTTATAACAGCACAATTTATAACTCCAAAGATGTGGAAACAACCCAAGTGCCCATCAATACATAAGTGGATTAATAAAATGTGGTATATGTATTCCATAGGGTATTACTCAACCATAAAAAAATGGTGAACTAATACACAGCTGCATCTCATTCTTCTAAGTCAAATGTCATAAAAGTGGAAAAACAACCATCATATGTACTCACCATTAAATTGGAACTAATTGATCAACACTTAATGTGCACATATGATTATAACATTCATGGGAAATTAAATAGGTGGGAAGGGAAAGGAGGAGATGAGTAAATTCACACCATTGGGTACAGGGCACCCTATCCAGTGTATATGCATACTCACAACTTTTATACAAATTGTACAAAAGAAATTTATGTAACAAAAATGTTTGTACCCCTATAACATTGTGAAACAAATGAAATAAAAAAGAAGAAGAGGTAAACCTTGCCCTGGCCTACACACAGGGAGCAGGAGACACAGGGAAATAGGCACTTAAACTAATGATTGTTATAAATACTATAGTTGAAGAAGGAGGAGCTGAGGCCAACTGTTATTCTGCCTCTTTCTAGGCCCATGTTTGTGAAGACATCCCTGACCTCTTCCAATCAGTTATTTCTCCATCTTTTGCCATCATTTCCACCTCGTATTTCCATGACACTTAATCATATTTTATTCTATTTTCTGTTCACACTCTTCCCACAGGTAGATCTATGTGTAAAGTACTCTGTGAAGCTCTGGTGCCTAAGAAAGCTGTCATTACATAGGAAATATTGAATATACACCTTTGAGACAATATCAATGTTGAGCTTTGTAAAGGTGTATATTCAAATGTTAATTACAGTATTATTTATGATAGTGAAAATTTAGGACACCAGTTGCTTACCAGTAGGGACATGGTAGTTACATGCAAAAGAATATTATGTAGGCATTAAAACTAATTATTAAATTAGACCAATATTTGTTGACCTATAAAGATGTCCATAGTGGTTATTGAGTGGAAAAGAAGACTATAGGGGAGTATATACACTATACATTGCCATGTATGCAAAATTGCATATATTTAAGTATGTGTCCATATGCCCAGATGGATGGTTAATAAAATTTTCATAGAAGTTAAAACAAACAAAAAAACCCAAATGGTACTGGGAAAACTGGATATCCACATGAAAAAGGCTGAAGTTAGGCCTTTACTACACACACTGTATACAATAATCAGCTAACAATAGATCAAATACCTAAATTTAAGAGTTAAAACTATAAAATTCATAGAAGAAAACTTATGGAAAAAAACTTCATGATATTGGATTTGGTAATGATTTCTTGGATATGACACCAAAAGCACAAGCAATAAAGGAAAAATACATAATTTGGACTGCATCAAAATTTAAAAATTTGTTGATCAATAGAGTGAAAATGCAATCTACAACATGGGAGAAAACATTAGCAAATCATACATCTGATAAGGGATTGATATCCAGAATATATATACAACTCCTGCAACTCACCAATAAAAAAAAAAAAAAGACACACAAAATGATTAAAAAATGGGCAAAGGACTTAAAGAGAGATTTCTTCAAGGAAGATATGCAAATGACCAGCAAACACATGAAAAGATGCTACATAACGCTCATACTTACAGAAATGCTAATGAAAACCACCATGAGACCATGAGATATCACTTCACACCCATTAGGATGACTACTATCAAGAAAGGAATTATAAAAGAAGAAAGAAACTCAGCAGTTCCACCTCTGGGTATGTAACCAAAAGAAGTATAAAAAGAGACTCAAATAGATATCTATACCCATGTTCATAGCAGCATTATTTACAATAGCCAAAAGGTGGAAGCTACCTAAGTGTCAATTGATGGAATAGATAAACAAAATGGATAAACATAACAAGGAATATTATTCAGCCTCAAGAAGTAAAACAATTCTGACACATGCTACCACATGGATGAACTTCAAAGACTTTATACTAAGTGAAATAAGCCAGTCACACAAAGACAAATATTGTATGATTCCTAGAGGTTTCCAATGGGTTACTAGAGTTGTCAAATTCATAGAAACATAACGAGGAATGGTAGTTGCCAGGGGTTTGAGGGAAGGGTGAGTTAGTTTCAAATTGATAAAGAGTTTTGGTTGGGGAAGATAAAAATTCTGGAAATGTATGGTGATGATCATTGCACAACAATGTGAATACATTTGACGTACAACTAAAACTATACATTTAAAAATGGAAAATTTTATGCTATGTGTATTTTACCACAATAGAAAAAAAAAAAGAAACTATAGGCAAGATACAGTTTCAGGAATGGTGGCATGAGTAACTGTATGGCTCTTTTTTCCTCCAAGAAAATAACCATAATAGGTGAAAATTACTTTTAAAAAACAACAGTTTAAAGTTTTTAGAAATTATCTTAAGAGTAAACAACAAATGGAGAAGTACTTATTCAAGAAAATCTAATAATCTGCAAAAATAATGAGATGCTGTGGCATTTGAGCCATGATCCATATTGCTACTCATAGTTGAGTGTGTCCTTAGCAAGGACATCCAAGAACACAAGTCTCTTTCTCTGTTCAACTTCCAGTCTAGGGTTAAGGTGTCTACAGGGAAGGACAGGCTTCCAGGATTTCATATCCCTCCCATCCCTATGTTGCAGAAGCTCTATTACTGACAAGAGTGGTTAATAATACTGTACCCCAAATGCCCATACTCCAATTCACTTATAGAGTGAAAATCTTATTCTGGGTGAGACAAGCTAAGAAGACCAGAGGTTACTTTACCTGTCCAGAACCCTGCTCAAAATTAGGAGTGTCAATCTAGAAGAAACTGGCTGCTGTCCCCATTCTAGCTCCAAGGGAGTGGCTCACAGATTTTGCCGAGAGTAGAGAGGTAGGCCATAAAAACAGAGAGCTCCAAAACTGTCATCAAGAGAAGGGACTTTATTTGGAACAAAGCATGGGAACTTCAAGCTAAGAGAATTGTCAAAAACAATGAAGATTTTGGTATAAGCCATTAAGAAGAGGCCAGTAGCTCCATGAGAACAAAAATTTAAAAATCAAGGAAAAAAGAGATGACTGTAGAGCAGCTCTAAGTTTAGCAGAGAGAACCAGGAAAAAAATACATACAGAAAAAGTGTTCTGGTGTCAGAACAAATATTAAAGTCCTGCCTCAAAGAATATCCCTGTAAAGGGATTAATTGGATCCGACTACTGAGCAATTTGTGCCCTGGGACATTGACAAAAACAATTTTACAATCAGCCAGTAATGAGTGGAGCTTAACAGGCTGAGTATGATACCAAATGAAGTAGATACTTTAACTGAGAGATCAGGGAAAGAGACTGTCAAAGGGAGCCAAGATAAACCTACCAATATCTTAGGGTATGTGCATGTCTAAGGTTGCACCCTCTGAGTTGTGATATCAGAAGCTTCACAAATAGATATCACTAAAATAGTCCAGCCAAGTAACAATAACAACAACAATAAAAAGTAAGTAAACAACAATTAAATCAAGTCCCAGGGAAGGAAGGAGTATCAGTATCCACAGTTGATGTGATATATTATGTAAAATGGCTAGGATTGACAAAATTATATAGTATGCTAAGAAACAAAAACTGTGACACATTCATGGAAAAAGCAAATGACAAAGGCTGTGAGAAGGCACTTATGTCAGATTTTACAAAAACTTCAAAGAAGCCATTAGAAATATGTTCAAAGATCTAAAGGAAACTGTGCTTAAATGGGTGAAGGATGGTAACATGCCAATATCCCATCAAATATAGAATATCAATAAATAAATGAATCACATAAAAATAAATATCAAATAGAAACTCTGGAGTTGAAAAGTACAAAACCAAAATGAACAAAAAATGACTAACAGAGATCAACAGGAGATTTTAACCAGTAGAAGAAAGAATCAGAAAACTTGAATTTATGCTTATAGACATAATACAGTCTAAAGAAAAGACAAGGGAAAAAAAAGAAAAATGAGAAAGATGGGACACCATTAGATACACTGATTTATGAAGAAAGGGAGTATCAGAAGGAAAGGCAAAACAGAAAAAATAATGTCAGGAGAAATAATGATTTAAAATCTCCCGAGTTTGATGAAAAATAATATCTCACATAATAAATTCAACAAATTCCAAATATGATAAACATACAGGTCAACACATAGACATATCCTAGTAAAAATACTTAAAGACAAAGACAAAGATAAAATTTTGGAGTGAGCAAGAAAATAATGACTACCAATGGATACCAGAAGGCAGTGGAATGATATATTCAAAGCAATATAAGAAAGGGAAATATGTTAAACAATAATTTTGTATCCAGTAATACTATATGTAAAAAATGAAAATGAAACCTTCCTGGATAAAATAAAAATTGAGAAAATTTATTGCTAGCATATCTATGTTACATGAAATACTAAAGAAAATTCTTTAGGCTAAAAGCAAGAGACCCAAGACAGTAGCTTTAATCTATAATAATAATAATAAAAAAAAAAGATTGGCAGTAAAAGTAATTATGTAAGTAATTTTAAGAGAGTGTTATTTCAACCTTTTTCTCCTTTCTTCTCTTAATGGATTTTTTTAAAAAACTGTATATATACAGTTTTTATTTTTAATTTGGCATATTATGGGGGTACAGATTTTAAGGTTTCAATAAATTCCCATTTCCCCCCTCCCCCCACAAGTCTGAGTCTCCAGCATGACCATTCCCTAGATGGTGCACATCTCACTCATTATATATGTATATAGCCGCCCCCGCTCCCCTCCCACCTGCCCAATACCCTATTACTGTAGTACCTATGTGTCCACTTAGGTGCTGCTCAGTTAATACCAATTTGCTGGTGAGTATATGTGGTGCTTGTTTTTCCATTCTTGGGAAACTTCACTTAATAGTATGGGTTCCAGCTTATATACAGTTTTTAAAATCCTACATATCTGTATTCCCTCTTCTATATATATAATATATATACATAATTTCATTATTGTGTCTATAACATATATAATATCATATATAATAATGATTATTATATTTAATATAATAACAATAATTACACAAAAGTTGGGTAGAAGCAAAGTATTAGAGTAAGGAAATGACACCAGAAGGTAAATCAAATGCACAGGAACAAATGAAAACAACCAGAAATGACAAATAGGAAGGTTAATAAAATCTGTAATTATGTACTACTTCCCATTTCCTCTCTCAGGTTCATTAACACAAATAATACATAAAGTAATAATAATAACAATGTATTGTTGAAGTTTGGGCATATATATGTTACAAGGAACAAAAGAGGGAATACATATATGTAGGAGTAATATTTCTATATCTACCTTAAATTAACTTATGATCAATGTAAAGCAATTCCAATAAATTAAGATTGCAAGCACTAGAAACCAATAAGAGAATAATACATGCACGTGCACACCTGCACACACACATATATACTAACACATATATAGTAAAAGATCATTAAAAGAATTAAGATATTACCTTGGAATGTATTCACCTAATGCAAAAGAAACCTGGCAGACATGTTCACTATATCAATAATAACATTAAAAATGAATGGATTAAAAAAAAAAGGAAGAAATTGCCATCCTGAATAAAAAAATAAGATCCAAATATATGCCCATTGGACATACACCTTAGAGTCAAAGATACAAATGAATTGAATGTAAAATTATAGAAAAAGGTATACTGTGCAACCATGAGAAAGCTGAAGTGACTACACTAATATTGTACAAAAAAAGGACTTTAAAAAATATTACTAGAGATAAAGAAAAACATTTTATCCTGATAAAAGGGTCAAAATATTGGGAAGGTATAACAATTATCAAGATATATGCAGCTAACACCAATGCCCCAAAAATTATAAAGCAAAAACTGGCAAAATTGAAGAGAGAAATAGACAAATAATAGTTGGAGATTTCTATATCACTTTCATTAATAGATAGAACAACTAGGCAGTAAATCAGTACAGAAATAGAAGACTTGAACATCACTCTAAACCAACTATACCTAACAGATATCTATCCAACTAGAGAAGAATAGGTATTTTCTGCAGGTACCCATGCAAGATTTTCCAGGCTAGACTATATGCGAGGCTATAAAACAAGCCTCAATAAATTGAAAAAATTGAAATCATCCAGAATGTGTTCTTTGACTACAATGAAAGGAAATTAGAAATGAGTAACAAAGAGAAATTTGGAAAATTAACAAGTATGTGCAAATTAAACAAGATGGTCCTGAATAGTAAATTGCTCAAAGAAAAAAAATCACAAGAGAAATTTGAAAATATTTAATGAAGAAATATTCAATGGTATTCCCCTAAGATCAGGAACAAGACATAGGATGTCCACTCTCACCACTTCTATTAAACATTTTCCTGGAGGTCTTGGCCAGGTAATTAGGCAAGAAAAATATGTAAAAACTATCCAGATTGCAAAGAAAGGAGTAAAACTGTTTGCATTTGCAGATAATATGATTTTTTAATTTTTTTATTTATCAGAGGCAGAGTCTTGCTCTGCTGCCCAGGCTGGAGAGCAGTGTGGTACAATCATAGTTCCCTGCAGCCTTAAACACCTGAGCTCAAGTGATCTTCCCACTTCAGTCTCCAGAGGAGCTGGTGTAAACCACTGCATATGGCTTATATGATCCTGTATACAGAAAATCTTAAGAAATCCACTAAAATCCTATTAAAACTACTAAATTATTTCAGCAGGGTTGCAGTATATAAGAAC